CCCTTCAGTGGTTTTAAAAGTAAAATGGCATAACCCTTGGGACAGAGAAGACAATGGTCTGAATATAGACTGCTGTAGTGCTACCTTACTAAGCCTAAAGACAGCCTAAAACAAGAAAGAGCTGTCTGTTCTAAATGCAGTGGAATATTAATTCTGAAGCATCTGTTACATTAACGTTGTTCCCACATGAATGGTTCATAAGGAACAGCTTCATTCATTTTAAAATATAAACTAATTAAAAGTATATATATTTGATTTGAGTAGCTTATTTTTAGTTGTTTTTAATTGACTTAAGCCAACTATTCTGAGTCAAGTCGCCCCATAGACTTTTGCTCTTAGTTTTATTTTTCTCTAATTTTGGTTTAATGAAATGGTTCTGCTTTTAATTAAAAGTGATATCTTAAAAAACAAATCTGTGTAAACAATACCTCATGTGCAGTCTACAAACGTGTTAGTCCTCCTATGAGACTTAAAATGAAAGGCTTGTGGTTAAGGCTGCAGAAGGTGTTTAAAGAATAATCAAAGGATGGAAGAAGAGCCAGGAAAGAAAAGGGACATGTGAGAAAGCAAATTCCTCTATGATCTCATAATTCTATAACATTGTAGTCTTCTAAATGTGTGGCTGTCTTATGTACCTCTGCTGTTGTGGAAACCTGGTGGATCTTGGCTATGTAATGGCCTTTGAAGACATATAGAGCCTCTGGATAGTTGGTATTTGGCAGCATAAAGGAAGATTAAAATTGTATTCAGATTGAGCAATGTGTTTGATTTACAAGTTTCTTCAGATGTCATATAGGTCAGTAGGTTTGTATTTAGCTCTGTTAGCAAACAAATTGCATTCCTGAACCTTGCCACCAATTCAGTGTATGGTTGTTATTAGAGGGTAACAGTTGACACTAGTGAAAAACTGAGGAATGGAACTAGTGGCTTGCTGCTTGGATTTTGAAGTCATTCTGAGCATAAATTAATGTAAACTTTCTTAACAGGTTAACATTCAGCTTAAGTTATTGATAAGCTTGTAGCTGTTGTCAGTACAGATACATTTAAATAATTGTGGAACTTAAGCTTTTTCTTGAAAATCAGTGTTTGCATGCTTAGAACTAAACTATTTAGTGGGAAATAGACTTGGAAAGGTTTGTCTGTGGAAACATCACTCTGTACTTTCATTGCTTTTGCACTGTTGTGAGAATCAATTGCAGAGCACTGTTTTATTTGGCTTTGGGACTAGGGAGTCAGGTGCAAGCCATTATCAATAGCCCCTGAAGCGCAAAAAACCCCTAAGTTCTGAATTCTCATTATGTTGATTCAGTGCAGAACAAGGTCAAGGCCTCTCTGCTGCGTACTGCACACTGAAGAAGGAATATAAGGCTAGATGGATGTCTGGTGTGATTTGGCACAGCAGTTCTTGTGGAGGGTGCTGTGAGGTCCTAGGTTAGGTGGGTCTTGTTACAACTGCTCACTGTCTTCTCAGTTTCAAAGTGGAGAAAAGACATGCTTGTACAGAAGGTGGAATCTGGATTATAATTCAACTCTTTCTAGTGGGAGTACACAATACAGACTTGGAGATATTTTTGGTCTGTTTAAAACTAGATTTAAAAAAAATCTTGTCTGTGCTTTGTGCAGTAGTTTACAGGGCCCTCACATTTACATTTGTTTTCTTTATCTGCAACCTAATGAAAAAAAATAGATGAGAGGAAAGCAGTCCTTTGCTAAAGCTAAATATAAATCTCTCTTAAGTCTAGAATGTCTGATAAATTAAACTATGCAAATTGACTTTAGCTTCTTGCCTGACTGCAGATTCAAAGTCAGAGCTTCTCAGGCCTCTATCTGGTCATAATCTTGCTTGAAATTAAGTGCAGCTTTTGTGATCTCTACATTAAAACAGCACAAGCTAAATCATGGATTACAAGTTTTGGTGGTGACATCCAGCTATGAATAAAGCCAGAGCATTCCCCTGTGTAGGGTTGTAATTCCCTGCGTGAAGACAGAGTGGTGTTCAACTTCAAAAGGTTAGAAACAATAGGCCTTGACATACTAGATTAAAAGGGTGATCCAGCAGCTTTAGAAAGAAGGGGGGAAATGGGCATATTTTTGAATCTGACAGGCCTTGTTTAAATATTTTTTTTCTAGGTAGAATAATGGTGAATTCTAATAGTGAAGGCCTGGTACCACTGATGACAAGTCCCCAGGCTTTAGGATAAATCATGCTGGAGGAGATATCAATGAGCAAGCAGAAGGCCCAGACTGTCTCCAGAGTTTTGCAGAGGAAACAGTAGGACCTTGCGTCTTGCCCATAGGGTTTCTGATGGCTGATAGGAAAGAGAAACCAGAAAGAGCATGTTCTCAGGGGGCAGTTTACTCATAAGACAGGCAGACAAATATTTAAAGAATGCAAGATGCCATCAGTCAAAACTAAGGCTTATGTTCTTTCCTGCTTTGCGAGTCACAGTTTTAGTTTCGTTTTCCTGCTGTGACTTGCTTAGTTCATTGCAGTAAAGTTTTCCTAGATGGCTAGTGAAGGTTTTGACATGTTGAAAATGTTTCCCTGATTCTGAATCAGGAATGCAATAGTAATTCTACTTCTTGTTTTTAGTGTTTCAGGTTCCCAGTACTTTTGCTTTTGAGATGCATTTTAACTATTGCTGGCAACTCAGGCTTGTGGTAATATGTGCATATAAAATCTTTGTCACTTTACACTTCTAGGTCCACTGGCCTTCTTTCCTCAGTGGAAGCTGAAACATTATGATGTTATTGTAGGTGTTTTGTCAGCTCGACACAATCATGAACTGCGCAGTGTTATAAGGGGCACTTGGTTCAAGCACCTGAAACAACATCCTGCATTGAGCCAACGGTAATCTCTAGTGTTTTGTAATTTGGGGCTTTGTAAGGGTGGGGGCAGGGAAGGACTATAATGCTTCAATAGCTTGATTTAATCCTTTTTTGGGGAAGTATTTCCTTTTTTTTTTTTTTTTGCTTTATTTGTGAGCATCTCTGATAAATTTTTTTAATCTGCTTGGTAATATATAAGATTACTGCTTACTCTGGGCTGGAACTATATTTTATACGAGGAATGAAATGTAATTGTTTCTTCACTGTTGTTTGTTTTTGCAATTAGTTGCCACTGTTTGTTAGTGATGTATAAGACTTTCCCTTTTTCTGTTGCAATGTATGCTTTGTACAGTATGCAACTTGAAATGCTTAGTAATCTAGGATACTTGAAAGCAGGCAGGATCGGATTTGGTGAGAGAACCAGAAAAAACCTCTTACAACAGCCTCAACTGTGAAGTTCAAGTTTGTTTCCCACTGCACCAGGTATACAAACTGCTGCAGTGTGAGTGGCTAGCAGAACCCTTCCCGATTGCTTGCATAGGCCTGACAGTCTACAGAGAGCTCTGCTCTTGCTGAGAAAGTTCTGCTACAGTTCATTCCTGGAAACATTGTCATCTTGATAGGCCTCGCATTTTGGTACCTGCCTTGCACTGAAAGCCATTTACTGTTCGCAAATTTGGTGTCAGTGTGCAGTTTCCGATGCAGCATAGCTACTTCAGTCATCTAAAATGTGGCCTTTCAAAGCTTATATGGAGTTCCGGGAGGATATTTAACTGCTAAATGAAAGACTGGGCTAAGGTGGATCTTCTTGGTCTTTATATTGCTTGTTGTCTCCTGACTGTGGCACAACCGTGATTGGAGCTGGAAAGAGCAACCTGTTGTTTTGCTGAGACAACCCGAAGCTGAGACAGGGATAGTCTGAAGTCCTCGTTCCTCCTTTTTTCTTATAATTTTTTTTTCATTGGCTTTTGAATGCAGAATATTCACACAGTCTTGAATTAATAACAAAGCTAGGCAGGGAAAGGCAGGGCTTCAGGATCCTTCAGTGTTGCCTTAGGTAATTTTCTGTTTAGTGTGCTGGCTGTCTTGAATCCCATTCCTAGTTGCCAGTCTTCCTGATGAAATGTAAAAGGCTAATGTGGGCTTGGAATTGAGCCCCTATGAGGGGATTGATGTGGTAGCTCTACATAGAGACCCTCATTGCTGATTTTTAAGGGGTTCAAAATCGTAATCCTGTGAAAGTCAGGCCAGTGATGAAATAAGTTTATTGAAGGTGGAGGGAGGAGGGAAGAGAACTGGTGTTAATAAAACCAAATTATTTTAGTGTCCTTGTGAAGTTTATAATAGGTGCGCATGGTTGTGCTGTACCAGTGGAGGACAGAGAAGACCCCTACTCCTGCAAACTTCTGAACATCAGTAACCCAGGTATGGAAATTAACTTTTAAAAATTCTATGATCTCAACTAGAACTAAACATTTTTCATTATGAGAGTAGTTTAGGATGCTTATCTGGGACAGGCAGTCTTTAAAATAAATGCAGCCTAAAACTTGCTGTCTTAACAATTCCATAACCTTTCTTTAAGTGTTATGTGCAGACAAGAAAGTGAGATATCTTTGGGGGTGTAAAGGGGAGACCATTGACTTCTAATGGATTTGCATTTTCCTTGCATTGGGGGACAGTCTCTCCCATATAACATATGTTTTTACTCAATCCCCATGTAAAATGAAGTTGGAGAGAGCTGGAATGTTCCAATCCAGTCTCGTATGTGAAGACAGTAGTAAGGAACCAGAGTCCTGAGTGTCAGGTGGACTTCTCTGGTAACAAAGTGAATTCTATGCAGGTCTGGCCGATAGGTTTTTCAGGTTCCACCCTAGAGAGGGAACAATTAAGAAACGTACCATGGAGAAAAAATGAAATGCTGCCATACAAAAATTCCTAAATAAAATGGTAAATTTTACCCATCACCTTTTTTTTCCTATTTAATTTTTCTACTTTAATTGCAAGTTAACTAAGGACTGCTTGGCACTTAAGCCCTGATTCACCATAAAATGAAACTTTTGTTACTTTCTCTTTGAATGGCAATATCCCCTGCTTAACCAATCTCCCACAAATAAATGGTACCTCAGGGCTTAGGGAAGAGATAATACCAAAAAGCAGGCAGCTGAATTAAGTGGAGGTGTATGCCATTTTGATACATGAATAATTATTTTAATATGCTAATACACAGATATTCATGCAATCAAATAGCATTTTTGTCTTCACTCTGTGGATTTATTGTGTTTCTAATCTTTTCTCTGTGGGTATGTAGGCATTGACTTGCAATTGCTGGTAGTCAGCAGATTGCTGTGTCACTCGAGTTTCTCCTTGCTGCAGTCAGTTGTATTTTCTTTTCCTCCTGCGTTTGATTATTCTTGTCCACTTGCAATCCATGCTAATCAATCAGAATGCTTTGTGTGTATCTAGTGTTCTTTGTGTGTATCCAGTTCAAGAACTATGAAGTCTTCTCACACTACCTCTGTCCTTTCTTCTTCATACAGTTTTGAATCAGGAAATCGAAGCATTCAGTCTCCCTGAGGACGTACCTTCTGTACTATCTGAAGACAGAATTGTCAGTGTGAACTTTCGTGTACTTTACCCTATTGTCATTACCAGTCTCGGGGTATTTTATGAAGCTGATGGGGTTGGATTCCAGAGGAACATCACTGTAAAACTATACCAGGCAGAACATGAGGTAGAGTGTTGTAGTTATCTTTTGAAAGTGAGCTAAAGTGACATACTGCTGTGATGATTTAGAAGTACCTAACTGACAAGCATATGAATTATATTTTTCTTCTGTTGCATTATAAATTCTTATTTTACAGATATATATACACATACATACACACATGCAAAAGATGAAAAGATGAAATTCACAGAGTGCTGTGAGTTAATTTAAATCCCCTTTTGAAAGAAAGCTTATATTTAATTCCAAGACACAATTTTGATTACATTTGAGATTCTGAAGTATTGATAGGTATTAAGGAATAAAAAATAAACTGTTGAATATATTTGAAACACATGTGCAGAAAGACATGATTGTTGCATTTGGTATATTGCATTTATCTCTACCAGTAACTTGATAGACCAATTTCAAGACTTCAGGCTAGTTTACAGTAGAAAGAATTTTATATTTAAGGTAATAATTAAAATTAAGTACAGGAAATATACTGAAGTATGGCTTTTATGATGAACTTCCAAAGAGTTGGGTTTATAATACCAAAAAAAAAAGTATACTGTAATCAGGTTTATGTTTGCTAAATGGTATAATTCTAAATGTTGAGAGCCTAACAACTTGATCTGCATTAGCTTTTTACTGCCAGTGAAGGAAAAAAAAAAATAGTATCATAGGAGGGCTTGGAGACTGTTTTCTGAAGATTGGGAATCTGGCAATGTTGTTTATTGTTATCTTCATGGCATTTGTTATTATCTAAGAGCTGTTTGGTAGCCTATGTAATATAGTAGCACTTCAGTTTTACGGGTCAGCATCCTCTGTTGCCATTAATAGTAGTCAGCTATTTAAGCAGAACATAGAAAATCTGTAGACTGGGAGATGAGTCTGAGTCTTCCAGATGATGTGCTCTGTTGGTTGGATTGTAGCTGAACTTCTACTCTTACTGTGTTGTTGCTTGCTTCCACCGTATCAATCCTGCACTTGAATTCTGTGGAGTCTGTAAGACTGTTGTGAGAATAAAACTTAGTAATAAGTTTTACACAATCAGTAAGCCTCTTTCCACTATAACTAACTGAGATGATCAAGATTTGCTTAATTTCACAGTACTTTTAATGTGTGTGGGTTTTTAATTTTTTTTTTCTTTTCTGTTGTTCATAGGAAGCTCTCTTCAGTGCTCGCTTTAGTCCACCAAGCTGTGGAGTGCAAGTGAACAGATTGTGGTACAAGCCAGTAGAGCAGTTCATTTTGCCAGAGGTATGTGCAGTATTGGAACTGCCTGCAGTTCTTTTAAGTCAGCTGGAGAGACTGACTGACAAGACTGACCTTTGCTTGAGGCAGAAAAGGACGATTGAAGACCTCTAGTTGAGGGGCATTTGCTGAAACCCAGAATTTCTTTTTCACCACCTCATTATCACCAGTAGTTATAAAGCAAAAGCCTGAAAAATACAAATTGATTTTAAAATTACATTGGCAAATAGTAGCAATTTCAGAAACCTTTTCAGTTTCTGAGTGAAAATTGTACCTGCTTCAATTCTGTGGGAGAGTTTACCAGAGAATAGAATGCTTCTTTCTACCTCCTGCTTTTTCAGACGTTGTTACGGAAGATAGGGAGGTGAAGATGGCACAGGTTTCTGGGGAAAAGAGGTTTCTGCTACTGCTGTCTTGGACATAGCAGCAAGATATTGTGTGTTACATTTGCAATGACAATATTAGTTGAATAGTTGTAATCAAGAAGCACTTGAGGGCTGCTGAAATTTTGGTTATTCCTTTTTCTGGCAGCAGCAGTGAGGAATTGTTTGTTCATTGAACCATGCAAGGAAACAAGAATCAAAACCTCAAGAAGATCTGTAGTAGGGTTTATCTGTAATATACTAGATGGAGTATGTGGCACACAGAAGTTGGGTTTTTAAAACCTGTCACCATCTGATGGCTGAAGTATGTTTTTGTTTTGTTTTGCCTTTTTTTTTTTTTTTCCCCCTAAAGTGTATGCCCCTCAGAAATTTAGAAGACTGCTTTTTTGGCAGTAATGAAAGGTTAGTGTTCTTGCTTGTCCTAAGATACCATTAGCTAAGCTAGTGAGGCAAGGTCTAAAGGTTTTTGTGGTTTTTTGGGTTTGTGGTGGTTTTTTTTTTCTCCCCTCGTTGCAGTCCAAGAATAGGGTTTTGGTATAGGGCTATAGAACCTACTTGTGGCTGCTTAGGAAGGAAGGTGATTAAACAGAGGAGGCACGGACTATAGGCAGGATAAAACCTGGTATTGTTACAGTGAAGGTTTAGTGAACACAGATTGACTCAGAATGAGAATTCCAGTTTAGCAGACCCTCCCAGGTACAAGGAATTGTTCCCAGTGGACCAGTGATCTCTCACTACATGTGTCAGCTGCCATTTTAGGCTGTTTCCCTTTGTTTAAATATTCTCCTATATGACTGGACCCTTGCTGCTAGTTCTATAAGTTGTCTTTGGGTCTGGGTTGTTTTGCTATGTAAGAAATTAGGTGGTTTATGAAAGAATGGAGCAAGAGAAGACTGAAGGGGGAGGAGAGGACATCTGGGGCCATTTTAATCCTGGTTTTATTTCCCTGGCTCTATAAGAATGAATACATTTGGAACCCCCCCTTCTTTCAAGGGGAATCTGCATCTGATTAATTGGTTTATCATCTTAAACAGTTTTTTACTGAATACTGTGCAAGTTTGTTATGCTGGCAGGAGACCTTTTGGGTGAGCAGACCTCTTGCAGTATTTTGTGCATATGTTTTGACAATCTAATTTGGTGTCAAAATGATTGAGAGTTTTTTACTCTTTTTTTAAAAAGAGTATTGGTTACCCAGTAATTTGGTAGTATAACGTGTAAGCCTCTTCCCTGTAGGATTTTGTGCTGAGATACTAAAATTCTAGGCAGTTGTAATTTTGCTATAAATGATTGCATTTTTCCTGAAAGGCAGATGGGAAGTATTTCATTTAGAAAGGAGACATTAGTATTCATATATTTCTTTGTGTGGGCTTCCTTAATCTGATAGGTGTCATGCGCTGAATGCTTACAGGATAACATGATGTTTCTAATGTAGATTAATAGGGCTTATGGCACAGCATGTAGTCTCCTGTATACTTAGGATGCTGAACCATGCAAGATGATTCAGAGGAGATAGAACGCCCACGTGTTCCTATCTACTTGTTTGAGAGCAGTAAATTTAGTGAACTGTTTAATTGTCACAAGATGGCTTCTGAGACAATATCTATTCTCTGCCTTTCCACCTTCAAGAAGCAATGGATTGTACAGACTGCTGAAGAGCTTCATTCATCTTCCAGCTGAAGTGCTGCTCTTCCTGCTCATCTTGGGGAAAGAAAGGGAAATGCAGCATTAGAATAAGCATCTGGCAGGCCAGATTGTCAAAGGCAGAATCGATCATTCAGCTTTGGAACGACTGAAAGCGCAGAAGAGCAGAACTGCTAGCAGAAAACTAAAACTCACAGAGGGGCTCTTATAGCCAAGTCTTCGCAATGCACTTATTTTGACAAAAAGCCATGGGGTGCTCGCGTGAAAATGGGACTCCATACTATGCATACTCTGTATTACTGATGGGGAGTAGTTGGAGAAACAAAAAGCACAGCGCTGTTTAGCATTAGGAAAGGAGTTTGGCAGGGCTGCATTATGTCAGTACACCTGTTCGGTATTCACTGTAAATGCCACTGCACTCTGGCAGCAACAAGGCTGGAATTTAAATGGGGAAAACCAGATGATGTAGTCTCAGGTGTGCCACTAATGTTTTGCTTTAAGCATTTTCAGGCCTCAGCTTTCATTAAGCAGCTTAGAGTAAGAATAGCTGAAGGCTAAAGTCATTAGAAAATTTGCTTACAAGTCTCTCAACCTGGAAAATAACGATAGTTTGCAGCTTTAGAACACCTTACACTGAGGTTCACTTGTAATAACTGATTAAGATTCTTGGTATGTGTTGGAAGTCAGTATCAGTAATAGTCAGTAGTGAGAATTTTAATGTTTCTGTTTGCTGAGGAGTAAAAGGACTCTCAGGCTCACTAAACAACTTACTAAAGGTTGTGTGTGTAAACAAGGCACAGAAGTGGGATTAGAGCCCAGTCCCTACAGCAAAAAACATTGGAATGGGAGATGACAGCCTCTGCAAATAGAAAAATTGAGCATGTGGGTTTTACTGTGCAAAGTGTTCAGAGGTCCTGCCACTAAAAAAAAAGTTTTATTAGTGGTCTATTTGTTTTGATAACTGACAGGTAATTAAACAAACGAGGAAGGTATTGAGCATGCAAGTCAGACTTGAATAAACACTGACTAGCTCCATTATTAGATTATAAAGCTGGCATTATAAATAATAGATGGGAGACTTCTGAAATACACAGCTATCATTAAATACCAAGACTGCTGCAGATGCCAAGACCTACTTCTATGGGAAAGCAAGGAATTGAGCTGAACTCTAATCTAGACTTAACTGGAGAGTTTCTGGAGAAGGTTTTTGGAGTATCAGGAAGCTGAAATGGGGAAAGGCTGACAGGTTAGTACAAGTAAACAGACTTTCTACAGCAACAGAGATGCTACAAATAGTTGAAACAAGTTTTTTCTCTGTTCCAAGGTCCACACCAGTGTTTTTTCCTATGACATTGGGAGAACCAAAAAGGAATGCACTCATCTAGCAGTCAGGCATATAATAACCCTACAACGACTCTATACTACCTTGTTATAAGGGTGAAATTACTTTTTAAAAAAATAAATGTAATACTACTAGCACTCCTACCTGTACAACATACCACTTGTCCCTTTGCGTGTTCTCAGGGGTCTTCAGGAAAGTCTTATATAAAATGTGTAATAGTCAGACTGAGGTGGATTAGCTTCAAGTTGAGATGAAATGCTTTTAAATGCAAGAATTTTTACACACACACAAAAAACTTGGGCTGACATAACTTAAAATTGACAGTTAAAACCAGAAAATTTTAAAGATATTCACTTGTCTTTCTCTTCCTTTCCCTATTAGCCAAGATGTGAGGTCAGAGTTCTGTGACTCTGCTACAGTAGCTTGTGACAGCTTTGCCAGGATAAAGGTGGCTGTATTTTCCTTTGAGTTTTGCTGATGTCAGGATTGAGTCTCTGATCTCTGAATTTGGCAGATAACTAAAAAGCAGCACTTATTTCCAAATCTGTTTTAATGTATTCTCTTTGTAATGTAGGATTTTATAGTTGATTTTAAAAAATTCACTTCAGGTCACCTTTAAATGCCATCTTAACGATGCTAGAAAGCCAAAGTCTTCCACACTAGACTTCTGCTAAAAGTTTAATGTTCCTAATGTAGAGATTCATGAGTAGTCTTAAAAGCATGATTACGTGTTACTGAGTTTTGCAGATGTATTTCTTTTATGTGTAACTTATTTTTACTGAAGTGTAAGTAAAACACCTATGTTTTGCGTTCACACTGTATGTTGCATGAAATTGACTACTTTAAAATAAAAAAAAACCCCTGTTTGATTTTCATCCTTTGAAGTCTTTGAATACCTGCATAACAGTGTAACTCTCTTATCAGAGTTTTGAAGGTACCATTGTGTGGGAAAGCCAGGATCTTCAGGGCCTTCTTTCAAGAAACCTTCATAAAGTGATGGTGAATGATGGAGGGGGTGTTTTCAGAGTCATTACAGTGAGTCACCTCACCTTTCCTTCTACCATGTTTCTATTTTTCTTGGGTATTTAGCATTTTGCTTTCCTGTGTTTCTCTGTAAATCGTTAATTCAGTTGAGCTTCTCCTGTTGTCTCAGAGGGAAAGTTTGCTTTGCCTGGGAAAAGGACAAGGGCATGCAAAAAATGATGCTTAGTAAGTGGCATCTTTTATTTTGAAGGGAGTAAAGTTTGCCTACTGTCTTTGTCAGATGTGAAGCAGTATCAGTTTATCAGAGAAGGCAAAATGTAGGTCAAAAATCCTGTGCTAAAAATCCCAATCGATGAGATTAGGTCTGTTTTTTGCTTTTTGGCAGTCTCTTTTCCTGTCAAAACGTTGCTTGCTTAAACATGTAATTTAGCCAGAATAACTTTACATTTTGCTACTTCAAAACTAGTTTTCTAAAAGTTTCAGTGGTGCTGTTAGTTTTAAGTGAAACTTCAAAAAATGCCACAAAACTTTACAGTTAAAATTCTTAGTCTTAGTCTTTCATTATGCAGGTACCTATTACTAATTTCATCCTCAGTTGCCAGAAAACTTCACACCTTAAAACCACATCGGTAATGAGAGACGAACTAATTTATTTCTTCCATTAATCTGTCTCTAGCAGGCAGGGGAAGGGTTACTGCCACATGAACTCACAGAAGGTGTGGAGGGAATAGCAGGTGGTTTTATCTACACTATTCAAGGTAAGTCTGCAAAACATAGCATCACATTTGATGTTATGATAAAAGAAGAACTTGAAATTACATTTCTGAGATAAAATTCCTGCTATCTCTATGAGCTTGATCAACTTCAGTTTTCTTTTAGTAGAAACAATTAATTTATTTCTGTATTTTTTTTTTTAGGCTTAATGTCAATGTTCTGATATTTCTTTGCTTGGTCTTTGTCAACCACTCCAGTAGAATTGCATCTCTTTGTCTTTTTATTAACAGAAATACCATTTTTTATCTAGACTCTCAGTCCTTGTTTTTTGTTACCCAAACCCAAGTTATAAAATGTTGTGCAATGTGGTCCTCAAGAAATCTTTCCCTGGTAATTTTCACATCTTTTCCAGTCCTGCTACTTTTAGAAATAGAAGTACTGTGGCATAAGGTTTAATATTAACTACTGACAAATAGTGAGTGCCTACCATAGCCTGCTTTTCTGCTTCTGTTTTTGCTGGTTTACACCTATTTCAGTAGAAGATTCATAGACCCCATAGGAATTGTTTCCATTGTCTAAGATTTTGGCCACATAGCACTAGTGTTGATGTGTTCTTATTGGTCCATCATAAGCCGTACCTTTCAGAGCGTTATTCCTGTGTTTTTGTAGTTAGGCCTGGCAGATATAAATTGTCAGACCTGTTGTCTTGTCATCTGTGTAGGAGCCTAAACTGAGGTGTGCTAAAGCCCTTCCCTCCCGGTTGTCAAAAAGTTCTTCAGTACCACAAAGTATCTCCTTACCAAGAAGTTCAGTAGTCTTGCTATATCTTTTTACCTTTTATCTACAGTCAGTTATGTGATGAAATTCAGCAGGGACTAACTATGCTATCTCAAAGCAATTCCAGTTTGATTACATTGAGCATAGGATTTTTTGTTTGGTTGGTTTTGGGGTTTATTATTTAATGCTAGGTATATATGCTTAGGAGTAATTGATATAACAGTAACCTTTTTACTGGTAAGAGCAATAGTGAAGTCCCGGACAGCTCTTTAATATAAAAGAACCTTAAAAAGTTAAATCCTTTTATTACTGAAGAGAATACTGCAGAATATATATTTCTTTATTGTTATGCAACTTTTAACATTTCATAGAAGTTCTTAAATTAATTGTAGGATCTTCATAACCCCATTGAGTTGAACACTTCTTCAGATTAATTTTGTCAGTATGTTGTGTATTATCCAAAAGAAACATGTGAAATAATATGTAGGTATGCATCTTTGTTTAATGATGGGTGCTGCTTCTTTCAGAAGGTGATGCTCTTTTAAAAAGCCTCCATACTCGCCCAGAAAGGTTTACAAGTCACATAAAAAATCTTGAAAAAGAAGATGCTTTATTGAAGGAAGAAAGCAGTACCTATGATGATATTATTTTTGTAGATGTTATTGACACTTATAGAAATGTTCCAGCCAAACTGCTGAACTTCTACCGATGGTAAGTTGAAAAGAAAGCATTTTCTCTTAGGAATGTTGCTGTTTGTAGTGCAAGATGATCCAGCATGTTACGTTATCTGATAGATTCCATGAAGTACTTACCTTATGTGATTTATTTCATTAAGTTGTATTTCTGTCTCACAGTTTTGAGGGCATGTAGTTTATCTAATGAATAAAATAACAGGATCTGTATTTCTTGAATGCTGACCCTTGGTGCCTTAAATAAGCATGAGCTGGCAAGACAGGCTTCTGCTCTAGAGTCCAGGTGTGAAAATTTTCATGTCTCCTTGTAATTTCTTTTGTTTCTGACTGAAAACTAGCAGCTTTAGTCTTTTAAAGGATGGCATTTGGCCAGCTTGTAAACTTAGTGTTTCAGTTTGTGGCCATTGACTCTTGTCCTGTCAATGGGCACCACTGAAAAGACCCTGGCTCCATCTCTTTACACCATCCCTTCAGGTATTTATATACATTGCTGAGCTCCCCCATGAGCCTTCTCTTCTCCAGGCTCAACAGTCCCAGCTCTCTCAGCCTTTCCTCATAGGAAAGATGCTCCAGTTCCTCAGTCACCTTGGTGGCCCTTCACTGGACTGTCTCCATCCAGTACGTCTGTGTCACATTTGTCCTGAGGAGCCTAAGACTGCACACTGTACTCCAGATGTGGCCTCACCAGGGCTGAGGAGAGGGGAAGGATAGAAAGCTTGTGTACAGGGAGGACGGAAGGTTGAGAGGAAGAATTTTCGTAGCGTATTACATTGTCTGTAGTGAATCTAATAAGTTATTGCCTCTAATTCTTCCCATTACTCTGAGACAACTGTTTCAATGAATTGGTGTTGCTGTGGAGTAAGAAATATAGCTGATAGTTTCAGTTGCTTGCAAGATTATGCACTTATTTAACAGATTTCATGGTTATGAATGTAACTGAAAAACTGAACCATCCTTTCAGTTTTAAAAAGGGAGTTTAAATGTCAAGACTTAGATCTTTGTGATCATTTCTTACAGGTTAGCAAATTTTTCAAGATTTAGTAATAAAAGGCTTGAGGAAAATGCCTTTCTCATTACGAGAAATTACCCTTAAATACAATGTCTGTTAATCAACCAAGGAATAATCCCTAGAATCTTAAGCTTCTTTGGTTATTTTACAAGTGACAGATATTCAGCTATTTCAGACAGTTAAAGATTACTTTTTTCATATTTGAAGGGTGCTTTACTGAGGAAGAGTAAGTACCAAGTTGTTTACACAGATGTTTCTTACAACCTTCTACAGTTGTATTGTCCTTCAACTGACCGTTTCATCCTGAAGAGTAGGCTACTGACATGTAGCCGCTGGCTTTTAACAGCTGTGCTGCCATCATCAACAGGGATTCATACCCTTCTGAGGTCAATACTGTTTAAGATGGATTCATTAGTAAATCCACCATCTGTCCTGGAGAACAAAACTTCAAGTTTGTTTTATTCAGCTCATACACAAATCCATAGTGTAAGAAAGACCATCATAGGGTGCAGCTGCATCTCTTTTCTGTAGGACAAGCAGTCAGCTGTGGTCAATAGGGAAAACATTTAAAAGTCAAGGGTAGGAAAGACATTCCTCCCTTCTTTCTTCCCCCTTTGCTTCCCAAAAAACCCTTGTGGAGTGTTCTGTTGTGTAACTGTGGTTTGTGGGCTGCAGCTCAGCATCTCATCACTTTTCTTTTTGGCTACAGGACAGTTGAATCAACGAGTTTTGATTTGTTGCTGAAGACAGATGATGACTGTTACATTGATTTGGAGGCTGTTTTTAACAGGATAATGCAGAAAAAATTGGACAGGCCAAACATTTGGTGGGGAAAGTGAGTTGGTTTGTTTTTTGTTTTTTTTTTTTGTTTTTTTTTTTTAACTTGTCTTTAAGAGATACCATGTCTTTAGTGAACGGTTTGCTGCGTCTGTTTTCTTGTGGGTTCCCCTCCTCTGCCTATGGAAACTAACTATACAAGGCAGGACTCTTGTATGTGTAGAACTTTGAATCTCAGAATACAGAAATCAATCCTTTACAACAGCTTTCCAGCGTGTGCCTTTACAATGAGTCAAACTTGCTGAATATATTACCTAGTTTTAGAATGTGTTGTATATGTCTTTGTCATGGTACTTAAGTAAATAAAAGTATTCCAGCAGCACAGTAAAGTTAAAAGGCAAGTGCATATTAGAATTGTAAATGTTCCTTTTTTTAAAGCCACTGTGATTTTTCTGGTGGGCTTGAGGAAATGGAGTAACAGAAGAAATGAAATTGCCTTTATAGTCTGCACTTTATTTGGAAGTCTGTGAGTGACAGGCATTGCTACTCATTTTGCTGCTGTCTGAAATGGTAAATCTGATTCATGAATTCTTGAGCGAAGTTCCCCAGCCTGCATTACACTTGTGAGTAACTAGGAAGATCATAAGAGCCCATCTCTTCCCTTCCATCCATGGAATGCATTGCTACACTGGTATAACATGCAATATAGCACAAATGCTGCGCTGCTGTAATGTTTGGTATAGCACAATGGCATGACGGGTCTTCCTGTTGCTATCTGCTTACTGAAGAAAAGCTGACCTTTGCTGCTAAAGGTGTCTTGCTTCACCAATGTGGTACTGACTGTTGCTTACTTGTAAGGCGATTTAATAAGGTGTGTGAAAGTGTGTGTGCCCAAGTGTGGGGAATAGCTGGCTATCTTGTGATGATCTCGAAGATCTGAGTGGTGGGCATGTGTTCTTTAGCCTGTACAAAAAACCTGATCACCTGCTGCCTGTTAAATTTTTTGGGACTGCCTTTACCACAAGGCAAGGCTAACAGTGAAGGTAAGATAGGTTCATTCTAGCAATCTGAAAGGTCAGGATCTTGATGACAAGATGGAAACCAACTTGCAAAAGGAAAAATAACACTATGTATAAGTTGCCTGGGCTGCTGTTCCAGCTGATGTAGGGAAGGCCTGTGAGAGCTGAGGATGTGATACCAAAGAGATTGCCCTCCTTCTCCCTGGTGTCCCTACCCATGCAATGGTAGGTGTCCCTACCTTTGTGTTGCTGCCTACCATAGGCCTGCTGCTTGGCCAGAGTTTTCTGGTTATGTGTTCAGCTTTGTGGGCAACCACTGAGTGTGCAGGAGTCTTCTACAAGAGTCTTCTGAGTGGTTTTGGGGGATCGTTCCAAGCTCTCCTACCTTTCAGTTCAGTGACATCTTGCATATTTAGACTTGAGCATTGGTGAAAGTGCAAATGAAATGCTGTTAGGCTTCTCTGACAGCTGGTTCTGGTGTGTGGAGACCTTAACCTTCTGAGGAGAAGGTTAATGTATCTGGCCCTTGAGGTGACTTTATTGATGGTCTCCCGTTCTTCTGCTCCTCTGATGATGTGTCTGAGAAATCAGACTTTGCAACCTAGACCTTATTAAGCTCTCTAGATCAGACAAGTTTCTTGTTTGTCTAGTGTTCCTTATCTGCTAATACTTAATTCCTCTATCCTTGGAGAAACTTATCAGAGTTCTTGTGAATGCTGAAATGATCAGCTTTCTCTGGCAGAAACCAGGGATGAGATCTCTGTGAAACTGGGAAGGGAATGCTTTGGATTGAGCAGTACTTTCAGTTAATAGCCCTTTTCTGATGCCACTTCATATTGTGTGGTGGTTTTGTTCGTGAATTTTAAATCACTATTTAAAAAGCATATCTAGCTAATCTAGAGCACTTCAGGGCTGCAGGCTGGAAAACCAAATGATCAAGATAGCCTACTTCAGAACTTTGGCTCATCTTGGGGAGACCGTACTTAAGTTACTGCTATTCTGTTCTTTTTAAACTGCAATCAAAAGATTAGTCACCCTCAGGCACAAGAGGTGTCTTTGACAGATCGCCGATCATGTCTGCAAATGACCAAATTTAGGATGGGGTAGAATGTATCAAGCTGTTTCTGAGGAAGACTAAATCTAACATGAATGCTGTAAATGAGAAGGCAGTTTAGATGAGATGCTGGCTCATCTGCCCTGCTACGGAAAGCAATGGAAGTTCAGAATGGCACCTTTTCTTGACCTTAATTAAGCCAAAAAGAAACTTCAGATACTTGAAGTTTTCCATGAAGATGTTTCATTTGTAGTATGAACCTCCCATTTTCCTGGGGCATAAGATACACTGTTGAGTGTAACCTATTTCTAGGCTGGCCTTAGAATAGCCATTGAATGAACTTATGAGGATTGATAATGCTTTATTCTGCAGACTGAAAAATTAGTTTTGCTGAGTCTTGCTGTAGAAATGGTGTGTTAAGGTATCAAGTAATTTTATTAGGTTACTAACAAAAGGAAGCGACAAGTTGTGCTGGGAGAAAAAAGTTGGACAAAACGTCATCTTTTCTATATGTCTGTGGAGAACATTATGTCGGGGTGACATCTTCAAGTGTAAATTCTCTAACAGTCACAGTCTTCAGGTAAGACAAGTGTGAGATGTCGTGAACAACGCTGAAATCACTACAGAAGTATGAAATGATTAGCAAAGCAGGTGCCCCTCAGAATGGATGGGGGTTGCAACCTTCCAGCTGTCACTTGCTAGAGTGGAAAATACTGAGTCTAAAGTGAATTCAGGTATGAGATGTGACTTTGATCTACTTGGTGCTTCTAACATGTCAGCTTCAGTCGTGAACGCGTAGAGTCTGATAACAGATCTGCCACTCAACTGTAATGCCTCCCTTACGCGGCTGTTGTCTGAGGTGACAATTCTTAGTAGCTCGCTGAAGCTTTTAGCTGCTTGTGCTCATGACTGAATTCACAGCCACACTTGAACCTGTTTGCAAAAAGGGGGAGAACCTGCTACGTTGACAGTTATGCCACTTAGTAGCGAGCGCATGAAGTACTTGTAAGGTAAGAGGAGTGTAATAGCAACCTGTTTCTGAACAGGAAAAGCAGGGTATTTCTCACTGCCTGATACAGCAGCGTAACGGGGTCCGTAGCACCGCATGGTGTGGCAGCGTGTTAAAGCTGGCTATGTCACACTGCTTGGGGATGGGAGTCAGCGTGGACAGACCGTGCAGACAGTACTGCTGGCTTTCTGCAGGCCTCTAAGAACAATCTTCCTTAGAGAAGATGACTGCCGGGAAGGCTTTTTCTAATTCAGTGATGGCAGCCTTTGAACGTTCGCTTTGTTGAGTTTCATTTGGAAAACAGCTTAGAGAAAGTATATAAAAACCCAGTACTTTGCCTGGCTTCCTGGTTTTTAAGCAGCCACTAGTTTTATCAGGAAAATGGGTTGTGTAACATCTCTGTAACTGCGTGCCTGCTGTTACAGAACATAGGTAAGGAGTTCTGAGAACTTTCTCTTATTATCCAAGATTGAGACCAAACAATAGTTACACTTTCAGCTGTTGTGTTCAATTAGATGCGTGCCCAAGAGAAATAAGGCTAGGAACTATAGTTAGGATCTCCTTCTACTTCTTCAAGATCAGTGTTACTTGAGTTGTTAGCAGTGTTCAGAGGTTTCACAGAGCGCTTTGTGTAAATGTCTCATGTCTAACATGGTCTTCAGTTTCAGACTAAATTGGGCAGTTGATCGAACTGGGAAATGGCAAGAGCTGGAGTACCCAAGTCCTGCATATCCAGCCTTTGCTTGTGGGTCTGGCTACGTCATCTCCAAAGACATTGTTCAGTGGCTGGCAAGCAACTCTGAAAGATTAAAGACATACCAGGTAGTAATGCATTGGTTCAGTTTTTCTATCTTAAACTGGTCTAGGGAGCAGCATGTGTACTGATTGAGTTGGAAAGAACATTGCTCAAGTGTTAGTGTTGGGTTCTCCCGGTTAATGCTGGCTTTTTGCAGTGCTTTTGGTTGCTATGCTTAGTGTCTGTTGCAGGTCAAAGCACAACTGTGTTGGACTGAGAACCTCTGGAGCTCTAATCTTGAAAGACAAGAGTACAAAAACCAAGAATAATGTATTATCACAGGAAAACTGGGAGGATTAATTTAACACCTCTGAAATAGTCAGGCATAGGTTTTTGTAGTTACCATTTTTTACTGCTGGTACATGATGCAACTTATTCTAGCTCACACAGTCATGCCTCGTGCTTTCCTGGTGCTAATAGCCCTATTTTTCATTTTAATGTGTTGTCGCAGGGTGAAGATGTGAGTATGGGCATCTGGATGGCAGCTGTAGGACCTAAGCGATATCAAGTAAGTCTGAAGAAATTCTCTGATCTTATAGAAAGAGAACATGCCCGTTGCACCAAGTAGCAAAAAGTAGGGGAAATATTTTTTCTTTAAAATTGAAACAGCCATTGGATTAAAGCGCAGAAAAAACTTAAGATGTATTTAAAAGAAAAACCACAAAATCCCTACAAACCACCCCCCAAGTTCTCTGACTAGGTCTAGCAGATCAGAGAGGGACATTATATATATTACACACACACACACACACCTCTAGCTGGTGACGTTTGTGTGCAAAGTTTGTTGCTAGAAACGATGAACACATCATTCTTGGAAGTAAAGATTGTTGAAGACTAAACTCTTAGTAAGAAAAACTATTGAAATGGTTCTGTCTCTAACAGGATAGTCTCTGGCTGTGTGAGAAGACATGTGAGAGTGGCATGCTGTCTTCCCCCCAGTATTCTCCACAGGAACTGAGAGAACTCTGGAGATTGAAGGAACTGTGTGGAGATCCTTGTCGATGTGAGGAAAGATGATGGACTTGCCTTGGAAAACAGGGTGGTGTATAATGATTATGGAAGAGTCCACATTTGGATTCATTCTTGGAACAATAAGGAAGATTAAGGTATCTTTTAATGTTGGGTTTCAACTAAAGTATAACAATATTTGCACATCCCTTTTGATAACTACAAGTGGACTGATACTATTAATTTTCTATAGTATAGATGTTGATCTGACAAAAACCAAAATGTTTAAGATAAAAAAATTCCTTTTCATATAAAAAGTCAAAGACCTACTTGTAATTAATAAATGCACATAAGAATGCCAACTAGCCTGTCTTTTGTAAATTAAAGTACTACTGATTTAACTGGGTGTAGAGCTGTACCAGGATCCAGTGGAGAGCTGTGCTAAGCGCCAAGGCCTCGGGTAAGTCTTGCTGCAGCAGGTTCTGTGCTGTCCGAGGGGTTGCCCTCATCTGTGCAGGGGCTGGGACAGCTGGGGGTTTGGATTTATGTTTGGTTTGTTTATACCATTGTCATTTTAGAGAAACACAGTATCAAAGTTTGCTTATACCAAATCTTGAAGTACTGCAAACTTGGCCTGATTAGGAGGGATTTCTGATAGCTCAAGGTGTTACTAGATATGGATCTGAGGGTACACAAGTGAAAGTAAAATAAGATTGAGGAACAGCGCACCACAGAATGTAAAATAAATAGGAATGCCTTGCAGTGTGCTGAGAACTTATTTATACTGTGGTATGTTAATGCTGTAAGGTAGAATAAAGGTCTGTCGTATTTGGACCTTAAATAGTCTAAGGCTGTGTAGATACTTCTACAATTACTGCTGGTTTACTTTTGTTTGCTTTAAGGTCTTTGGAAGTAGGTGAAAACAAAAAGAGCTAGTAGCCTCTTTCAGTGCAGCACTAATTTTGTCCTGTTACAAGCAAAGAGATCGCAACTAAATCGTGTACTTGGTTCAGTAAAATACATTCTCACCGCTGCAGTGGGAAGGTAGTGTAAAATGTTGGCAAAAGGGTTACCTTGGATTTTATTTAATTGCAGCATTTAAGCACTATTTGGTATCTCTCGAGTAAGACAATTCAGCCAAAAGCAACTGCTTTCATGGAGACTGACAGTAGTATTGTATAGCCTGCTGGTGTTACGTATGAAATTCATGTTCTCCCATACGTGTGTTCAGGCAGAGGCTGTCCGTACTGTCTGCGGGCAGTCTGTAACTCTTCTGCAGTTCCAGTGGTGACTTTTCTTTCAGGCTATCAGGAGGGTCCCTTCTTACCACCGTACTAGCACACAGTCTCCATTTTCTATTGAGTAAAACTGCAAAGGCTTTAAGTCGTTGTCTAGTTCAACTTCTTTTCCTTCCAGCTAGAATAAGAAAGGGAAAAAAAACCTGATCAGACTTAAACTGAGATCTGATCAGGAAGTTGCAGTCAGGGAGGATCTGTCATATTACAGGAATGAAATTAGGTCCTAAATTACAGCGTGAAGACTGCCCTCCTTAAGTGAAATCAATTTCATTAGGTAGTATTTTAGAGCATGCTATTGACCTTTAGCAGCGTGCAGTATTTGATTGTCGAATTACCCATTTTTAACTCACTTTAGAACTTTCGTAGGACAGTTTCAGTTCTGAACCAGGAATTTTAAGTAGGCGATACAGCAATCCTTTGACCTTCTGAATAGTCATAGACTCTGTCAAGGGGAAAGAAAGAGAAGTTATTAGAAAAATGCTGCTGCCACAAAGCTGTAGCAAAGTACTAGTGTTTCAGCTATACTTGCTTATAGCAACAGCAGAAGGCTGTATTGCTGCTTTGGGTCTAACACTGCAATAATGTCTCTTGTACCTGAAACTGTAACTGCTAACATCAAATTGAGAATGGGTTTCATCTCTGGTGGATAGGACAGGATATGCTACTATGGTTTAAGTGCTTTGATCCCATATACCAAATTAGAGTGTTACGACTTCATAATTCACCTTTTTTGAGTTTGTATTTACTACATGCTAAACCAAGTGACCTTTGGGACACGTACCAGTTGGGTTCTGACTACTTCCATCTGGCAACTGCTCCTTGAAGCTTTCATTACCAGGAATTGGCTTTCCCGGCACAAATAAATGGATGTCACTGTGGAACTAGTGCCATTCTTAGAAATGGTATTACACTAATTAGTCCCAAACAAACTGCCAGCAGAGTTGTAGAGTGGTTATATTATGAAGTCAGTTACATGAAGGGATATTTTTTGTAGTGGATCTTGAATGAATAAAAGTAGTTTGTTCCAGAGGCAATACTTGTGTTTGCAATAGATATACTCAATATTTTGGTTGAACTGTCACTTCTTTTGAAGCTTTATCTAAAGGCACAGCAATAGTGAGTTATTCCTGTAATATCACACATTGTACTTAGACAAATATTTTTCTATCAAACATTTTTGTAAAAGCTGTATCTATCTGATTTTATGCAACTTGTGATAATAAATGTGATTTTTATTTTAGAATAAAGCTTGAGTAAGTCTTTTCTCTCAGACTCCATTCTGACACATCTTTCCAAAACATGTTTGATTTAGAGCAAAGTCTATTCGTTCTAGTCTCACTACAGCCACTAAAACTGCAAAAGACAAATTTGATACAGGTCAGAATTGTATCTCTAACTTAATGTACTAGACACTAGACCTCAATAACTGCAGACTGTGTAGCTGGCTCTTACAACATCATGTTCTTGTTACTGGCTTAACATGTCCACCAGATTTCACACCAGTTAATTAGCCTTTGATTAATCATGAAACCAGCAGCAGACGTCGTAAGACAAGCATCAACTTTCAGTCTTCAAGCTGGACTGAAAGTAAGTATGAAGGTCAGAAAATTAAAGGCTTTTTCAAACAATTTCTACCTTTGTAATTTCTTTGTATGACAGAGTCTTCAGGGGAGAACCTTCAGGAGCTGACAAAGCCAGAGGCAGCTGCCATGCTTTAATGCAATTATTTGAAAAGGAGCTACAAATCAACTGCTTAAAGACAAGCTGAGACTTCTTACCTGGTAGCTTTTTCTCTACTGGCTTCTGTTCAGGATTCTCAGGACATCTAATTGTCAAAGCTTAAGGAAGAACGGTGAGGCATTAGCGAATGAAAGTTCAGCCCTGTTCTGGCAGGAGCACAGACACTTTCTAGTCTGTTTATATTACAAATTGTTTCTTTTAGTTCAACCTGATCTTCTAAAAAAAATAGGTTGTAGCCTGCTTCTGAGCAGCTAAGATAGCATTTAGTCATTCTCTGGAAAATTAAAAGTTTTGTTTTTTTAAATAATGAAGTTTTTATTCATCTTTGGTAAATTAGGGAAAATATTTTCCCAAGTGACTCCCTAATACTTAACATGATTTTTTGGTCAAAAAGAGTATTTACCCAAAAATGCTTAATTGCTAGTTAGCTTTCTAAAAATAATCTGCAGTTAAATGGAAGCTGCTTACTCAATTTAAAGCAAGTTTTTGACCTTTAAAATCTCAAAAACACCATACAAGCACATGTTAAGGAAGTTAGCATAATTCTTTTACAGATATTAAGACTCATCCCTAAAAAAGTTCTTGAGTATGTCTAGCCAACTAGATTGCTTGTTCTGTTTAGTCTTCCACCTAAATGCATTAGAATGTAATACCTTAAAATACTGTTTTGCCCATGGGGTCAAAAAAGTTCAGTTCTTCTATCAACTGGGAAACAAAGCTAAGTGAATTTTTAAGTCTGGGGCCTAACCTCGTTTAAATTAGACAGCCCCAAATACCAAAGCTACCTGTGTTTTTCTTAGCTTCTTAACTTTAGGACAGTCATTTTAAAAAAAAAATATCAGAAAACAGTGCAGCTGTTGAGGTTAAAATCTCAAATGTCTTCTATAGAGAAGTCATTTGCACGGTCAGAATGGAGTATTAATTACCTCTATTCTCCATTAAATCTTAATTAAGAAAATCATTTGGGTTGGGGGGAAAATGAGATTAGAGTACAGGGAAGCAGGTATCTAGTCAAACGCATTGATACAGTTCAGAGAAGCAGAATTACTAACTCATCAAGCATCTCAAAGGCTTTTGAACCTTTTGGTCTCCATATACACCCAGGAAACACTAAGCTTGTAAAATATTTTAAATGCAGAAGGAAGAGTTTTGACCATTTCTGGTCTCTTACTCAGAAGCTGATTTTTCAGAGTCAAAGGCTGTTGTCCCTTCAGTTCTCCTTCTTCAGGTGCACCGTACTCTGTGTGAAGGGAAGTGCACGTAGACGTGAGCCCTTGAAAGACTAAAACTCCACAGTAGCCCGAAGAGCGCTGTGCTGTTGGAACAGGCATGAGCCTGCTGCCTCGGGTGCCTCCGCAGCTAGGACACCCAGCAGAGAAAGTGGTGAGCTCCTGCAACTCTGAGTGCTGCAGAGGTGAGCCTTGATCAACTGCTAGAGCACTTTGGAGGGTGCACAGGCACGTGGGATGGGGTGGAGCAGCTGATAGGCACATGGAGGTGCTGCTTAATGGTCCCACTTAAAAAAGCCCCAGGTGGAGACAGCCACTGCCCTCTCACCAGTAGAGTCATGGGGCAGATGCCCTAAGGCAGTAGGAGCACAGGGCAAAGCAGCCAGGGGGAGGGAAGCAGACTGAAGAGAGACTGAACCAGTGCTACCACACTGCCAGAAGTGAGGAAATGCTAATTTTACTGTACTTGTACTTACTAAGACAAAGCGATGAGTATCTGGGATGGGCAGCAAGAAATTCTTCACTTGGTTTGTTTTTCTCTGGATTCCAATTCCCACCAGCAGCTAACCACTCATTTCCAAATATTTTGCGATAATCAAGCTCCGCTCCTTTTCTTTCAGCGGGAAGGATCTGTACTGACACAGGAATGGTACATAATATAATTATACAGCTTTCCAGAGAAGAAAATTTAATTAATGACACTGATTCCTCGTTCTTACTTAGGTGTTTGGTATGTTTTAATGCTACCAAGAATCTTACAAACCCTATCTCCAACAGTACTGACAGAGCCATCTATTCAGTACATTTTAAAGCTATTAAGAATCTTACAGCCCCTACCTCCATGTACTGACTGATCCATAAATGAATATTTAAGCAAAGATGTTACTGTATATGATGACACAAGGATGTATTTTGTAGCTACAGAAAAGATACTGTTCCTGCTCTATTTGGTTTAGATAATGCTATTTTCTTATTACTGAAGGCAAATACTTGTGTTACTGTCACTGAAACAGATTCAACTATGCTGGGTTTTTTTTTTTTTTTTTGGCCAGAGTATGGTTTTTTTGTTAACAGTCCCACAACTTCAACACAACTCAGGCACTTGAAAAAAAACCACCATTCCTCCCTCCTGTCCCAGTCCCCACTGAGTTCGCAGCATTCACGAGCAGGGCTGGATCTTGTAGCCCCACTGACTGAGTGCCCCATTGACTAGGTGACGGAATAGTTGGTGCTTTCCTTTTCCTGCACCCAAACACACACTAATTGTAGAAGAAACTGAAAGCAATTCTTCAGGCAATGATTTAATGTTTTTCCCCTGGCTCGTGTAATTTGTTGAAATATCGTGTACCTCAGACTTGTTCAAAACCTCCAGTTGACTTATCTTGGCAATAATTAGCTGTCGCAGGGTCTCTGGGTTCTTCTCTGTGTCCATGAAAGGATTATTGTGACACTGCAGTGACCGCAAACTTGGCAGTTTATCAAGCTCATTGATAGATGACCACTGAAATGGAAGGGAACAGTCTTTTGAGGAAACACAAAACATACTTCATTTCAGAACAATACACAATAATGTTGACTTTTCCTCTACACTGACCATGACTGAAACTATTCTTTTGTCAGCAGAACCAAGTACTTTCATCCTGTTCATTTAACTAAGGAAAAAACTGCATTACATTTAATTAAGTAAAAAAACCCCACCACCCAACCAAACAAGGAACTCCTCAGCATTTTGGATCATTAGAATTCTGCAAGAGGAATTATGAGGCAGCAGAGGGATATGACTAGCTACCATAAACATGTTTAACTGAGACATTAAGAAATGTTTTAAAATTTTTAAATTATGCCTCTGTGTTGATCAAAGTATTCAAAGAGTTACCTCAGGCTCTTACACATACAATCAAAGTTTAAAAAAGCAAATTGCAAGTTACTCTTAAACAAAGATACATGTATTTACAAAATGTGAAACTATCACAGTCTAACCTACCTGTGATATTTTATTGTCATTTATTGCAAGGCGTTTTAGTGAAGGAAACATTTTAGTCTTGCATCCTAGGAAAAAGAGTAAATTTACAAAACAATAGTGAAAGCTTTAAATAGAATTATAAAGCTATAAATAAAATACTCCTTTTACATACCAAATCCAGCATCAGGAAAGTGTATAGAAGATATTCCAGTGTTTCTAAGTATTAGCTGTTCTAATCTGAAATTTAATAGATACAATAATTAATGTACATGGCACAGGAAGTTTTTTGTAAAAAATACTACCTCAGGGTTTGGTTTTTTTTTTTAAACAAAGACCTAATAAACTTCTGATGATGCATAATCACTGACAAATGAATGGCAACATCACAGGCCGCACCCAGACTTCAGCAGAGTGTTCAAGAAATACATTTTTCAGAGCGTAAGTGCAATAATTTCAAGCTTTCAAAATGGCTCCTGGATTGAAATGGTGTGATTTTTTTCCGACTGATTTTTTTTTTTTAAATAGCTTCTGGCTATTTAAAATCACGGCTGCTATTTTGGTGTACAGTGCAAGATAATAATTCTGCAAATTAGCAAAACTATTGTATTAGTCCCACAATTTTCCAGTCACTGTAACTGAAGTGCTAGGAACACACACCTATTTTCCCAGGATGGTAACCCCAAAACAAGGAGTCATAGCTCAAGCCTGTAACTACCATAAAGATGCTGCTATTGAGCGTACAGTAAACCAGAAGTATCTGTGTAAAGGGTATTACCACAGACACTCTTTTGAGAAAGAAAGTGGAAATACATTTACCCATTGCAGTATGGGAATTATTATACTGTTTGGTGTGTGTGTGGGGGTGTTTTGGGTTGTTTTTTGTTTTGGTTTTTTTTTTTTTTTTTAATTTCAAAGCATGTCTTTGTCTTTTTCAAATTCTTTAAGCTACCCCAAAAAAAGCACTGAAACTTCCAAAAGAAAGTGCCTGTGCTGAGGACGTGCCACACACTTCCTCAGTAGCAACAGTAACCTTCCCCATAGTTAATAATCAAGAGCAGGTAACAGCAAAGAATTATCACCACACTTTTTTACCTCCCTCCAAACCCTCTTTGTCTTGCTTTCTTTAAAAAAAGGACAAATGAGTAGGCATCACGGGTGTGAAGTGTTCATGGCGAGCATCCCTCCATCACAAATGACCTTTTTAGTATGCCAGCCTCACGGGCCATGCCTTCCAGCAAGCTGCCCAAGGGCTTCCTGCAGGCCCAAAGGAGCCCGAGATGGCTGTGCAGCACCTGCTGAACTGCCTTATGCTGTCATGGTGAGAAAACTGTTCTTAAGAAACGACTTCCACAGGTCCTTTGCTTTGCCACTCCATACAAACTCAATAGTCCTGTCATCTTGGATAAAACCCTCTCCATACTAATATATAAAGAACTTAGTAATGGGATAACTAACTAACACACTTTCATTTCAAAAGTATATAATGAAAAACTAATAACAAACAGCTAAAAAATGCATTAATATACAACAAAAATAAGATTATATTAAAATAGCTCAATTAAGTAATTCAGTTACCCTGCTCAAGAGGGGAAAAATGCCTCAATTTGAAGATTTCATAAGTCTTCCATGAACATCAGTACTATCATGTTTCAGTCAACAAAGACTACAGAGATGAATATCCAGGACAAAGAATTTCCAGCAAATTTCTGTTAACAGCTACCTGGGGAGATGCGCTATGAGATGCAGCTGATTTCCATCCGGTAAGTGGTTGTCTGAAAGGTCCAACAACTTCAGGGTCTGCAGGACATCATTACCAGGCCTGCCACATTGGAAAAAACCCAAACAACGCAAACGCAGAACATTTACAGTGATTTGTTAATGAAAACACTAGTTTTCCAAAAGTATATAACTACATGCAATTAATTGTGTACATTTATAAATGTTTTGAAGTACATCACCTGAAGTTTGCATCATTTATTTTACAATTATGTCACGGTGATGTAAACATTACAGGAATGTGACTTTATCTGCTATATAACTTTGCAGTACATCAGTCATGGATGACTGGCTTATGTTACTCGTCTTACCTTTCCAAAACTGTAATATTATTAGAAGTAAGGTACAATTCTTCAAGTGCTGGCCATCCTGGAGCACAAATAAGAACCTAAGAGCAAAACTTCATTTAATATAACAAAAGTTGGGAAAAAAAAATATTCCAGAAATTATTCTTTATGCAGATTTCCTCAGAACATGTTCAGAACAAGCCATAGCTCCCAAAAGCAGAGAAACAAGTATTACGGATGGCCTAGCCCTCCCTTTCTTTCAGCTGGCTCTTTCCTGTGTCTGGATCTACCAGCACAGATGACATCAAAGGACTTCTGCATAGTCACAGGATTTACAGTTCCAGGCTTGGGGCTAGTAGCTGCCCTACCTCAGACTGTGACACCTGGAAACTAGGTTTATTTTATTCAAAAGGGCTGGACTGATCAGATTTTCCCTATGATGAGGCGAGGAAATGGCAGTATATGCTCGACCGCTAATGGGTCTGGAACTTCTGCACATCTCATCAGGTCTGACAGACTTTTTAAATGTCTTAATTTATCAGAGCTTGAAGGCTGTTTTGTCATGGGACTGTGCCAGCACACAGAACCACTAAAAGCCAAGAATTGCATTAGGTCAGCACATATCCTGAAGTTTTCAAGTACTCTAAAGCAAACCACTTTTAGTTCAAAAAGGCTACAAATTGAACAAAGATGCATTTGGTTTAAATCTTATGTCCTGAAATGACACAAAAATTATTATTTTACTTTATAAGGATTTACTTTTTGCAAACATCTACAGCAGATAACACAACTTTTAAAAAGAAACACTTATTACAAAGCAATAAAAATTGCTGGCATGAACCCTGGTTTTGTATGCAATTGTGACAATGATGTCAGAAAATTAGCAGTTTTAACAAATGGAGTTCCATAAGCACTGGAACTGACCGGTCTTCTACGGATTTGTGCCTGTGAGCTGCAAACTGGGTTTTTTTGCTGAGGTTTTTCTTGTGTGTATTCTCCAGAGTCAAATTAAGTGTGAGCTCATCCTGCTACTCCTTCCTTGGTTAGGAAACTTAGAGGGGCTCTTTCCTCCATCTACATTCCTATTTTCTTGGAACTTGTAGGTAATAAATTATTTTTAGGTTCCTACCTCTTTTCAAAATGTGTTTGAAATTGGCTAGCAAATTCAATGTTTTTGAGAGGCAAGAACAGACATACACATGCACAGCATAATCGCCTAAAGCTTGTTTTTACAGGAGGTTACAGAGGTTGCAAAGCAGTGAAGTTCAGAGATCTTCAAATTCAATCAAATTCAATTTGTTATGCATATAGCTAAGCCATTCTCCCATAAACATCCACTATCCTAGACACCTTTCATCAATTATTCTTCATTCTCTCTGTTACAGTTGTATGAAGTTATACAGCTGGGATGTATATATAACTGTCTCATTACAGATACAATACAAAATATTAATACTGAGATCTCCTCAAGTGGCAGCAGATGATTTGGGGCTCAACTGCTTCACATCCAAAAATATGAAACATCATCCTGCTGCCGCATCTTCCACACAGGTAAACTTATAAACTCAGATATAACAACTTCTCCTGCTCCAAAGCAAGCAGGAAACACCAATACTTTATCTCCTTGATTTGGATAGTGTTTCCCTATGTCAACAAGAGAGACCAAAGTAGTTTATCTATTCCTGATAAGGACACATGAAAAGAAGCCTGCAGTTGGAAGAGAAATTAGGTGCATGTTCACTACAGAGAACCTTTGGGGGATTCCCCCGCAAAAGTCCTGCGTTGTGATGGATGGAATAGAAAAACTGCACAAAACTGAAGTATCAGAAGACTTTTCAATAGATTGACCAAATGAGTAGAAAATTACCAAAATGAAGTGACAGTTATATCACAATTCTAAAAGAAATTCAAATTGCCAAATTTTCAACTATTGCTTAAACCAGCTTCCATATAGAAACGTTCTCAGATCTGACAGACAATTAACACTCAGGAAAGATTGGGGGCTTGTTGTGGATAGCTGGCAGGGAGGTTGGGATGAATAGCCAGTGGAGCAGCCACTGCTGATCAGAAAAGAAAAATGGAAATCCAAGACCTATTGCAAAAGAAATAAAGGCAACAAGAAACAATTGTCATCATGTAAGTCCACAATATTCCTATATTTTTAGTCTCTTTATCCCAGGAAGCAAGTAATACAAATGGAAAAGGCACAAAAAGAAGCTTAACAAGACTCATGAAAGGTATGAAACAGAGACTAGCTGTTCTCAGTTACTTGCACATAAAATATTGGGAACTATTAAATGAAATTATCAGGCAGCAAGATCAAAACCCAAACAGGTTTGTTTTTTTTTTCATACCGCACATAATTAGGCTGACATTAAAAGATGTGGATATAAAAATTTTCAAATGGGTTCTTAATACAGTTAGATATATCATGAAAGAAAAAAATCCACACAGATTAATTAAATACAGATATATAGTCTCCAGCTCAGGAAGCCCCAGAATTCCAGATTACTTTATAAGAAGCTCTTAGCATATGCTTGCCCTTTGCCTAGAATTTTTCTCAACTACCTGCTACTTGCCAGGGTCAGAAACATGATCCTGCACCTCTGCTCTAACCCTGATTTTTCTTTTACCCTGTATAAATAGATTATTTTATACATATAAGATCTTAGTTTGAAAATAGAATGACAAATATAACATTATGATTTAAATGCTGAGTAAGAGAAAATGTTTTGGAGTCATAAGTATGAATTAATTACCCTCAAATGCATTAATTCAATTTCTCAGTCAATGGTTTCTAACTGTAAGATATTTTACAGGACATCTTTCCCCCTTGAAGGTTATATGTTATGTTTTGAACAATCAATTGACAATTAGACAGTAATAAGCTCTTTTACTGATATGTTAATAGAAATGTCAGACATATTTGGATATATGCATATAATACACTAACGAAATAACTTTTTGGAAAACTGATGCTCAAGGCATGTAAAAAGGTGGAGGTACGCATAATTGCCTAACAGTAACGCATGTCCATCTACTGTGAAAAATATTTCAAAACAGAGGAACAAATGAAAAAACCTGTAAGTCTTGTCTTCTTTTTCCCAACTATCCTCATGCCATATAGTCTTACATATGGCAGTAAGTTATTTTGAAATGTTTTTCACCATTAAATTGTTTTAATTCTAATTAAAACATTTCTAGGATTTTCAAACTTTGCTTATATTCCCATTGACAATCACTGTATTTCTCTTTTGTTGGGTCACATTCGTTATTATTTTCTATTAAAAAGGTGACTTTTCAAAGTAACTCCCCATATAGCTTAAGCAGTAACACTTTCAAGTGATTTGTTCACAGAGTATTAATGTCAGGTAGGTCCCTTTATTTTTTCCCCTTTTGTTTGGCTGCCCTGGAACACCACTATTAAGCACAGGCTTATGTCTCCCCACTTAAAAGGGAATGAATCAAATTTCGTTTTTATAAAAAAGATTTCCAAACCAAAAATGTCTTTACTGCCTATGATGAATTGTCAGCTAGAGCAGAGTTTCAAAAACAAATGCAAAAGCTACGTAATTTTAAACTGCTCTGAGTAACCTGGAGCTTCTCTCTGAAACTTAGTTACCCCTGGAGAACTCTAATCGGCCCGAAACAATGGCTCTGACCAGCCTTTCGGCCACCCTGGTATGGAGGGCTGGTAGCTGCCAACATTTTAAACACCACAATGCACAAATTTACTCTGATGAGCACTAGATGAATTTTATAGTGTTAGTAGCCGCTGAATTCTTCCATTCACTTCACCATTCATATTGCTGCAGTTATGGAAGGATTATCAACTGTCCTAGCACAAACCCCACTGATGGTTTAAGAGCACACTGAATGGACACTAAACAAACAAAAAAAAAATACAGCAATGACCCTCCTCTAGCTCTGCTGCAAGAGAAGAGAATGGCAAAGTTTCTTTCCACTTAACTCAAAACCCAGTTTTGGTAAGTGCTCTATTACTGGATAGTGGCTTGCAGCAAAAATCTGAAAATTCAGGTAATTTCACAATGCAGTACGTACAAAACCTGCCCCCGAGAAATCCAAGTAACGGGCTGGAATTTACAAGCCATAATAAGTAGCGTGGCACTACTGAAATGTGCTTCATAAGCCCCATCTCTGAAAAAAGGCCCACTGCTAACATATTTGACTGCAAGACTTCATTCTTAATAATACACCATAATAGGGGAGAGTCATTTAAATGTTTGTGTATGTTTCAGGGACTGAAACAAGTCAGAGCTTTGTTTATTCTGTGCCATATCTGTGTTGCATACAACCCAGCATCACGTATTTCAAGAATTGTCAGTATTTGCAAAGATACTAAGCCAATCTTCTGACGATGCAAAGTGATGCCAAAACAAGTACTTTGTGTCATAATGACACAAGTTCCTTCCATTTGCATTTGTTCTATTACACACATAAAAATAAGGATAAACCTTTAATAACTACTAGGAAACAAAAAGTTTTCTTTCACACAAACTGTTGGGACATGAAGTTATATTGTACTCCTGCTTTATCTTGACTTGGTAATTTACAATTGTAGGTGAGGTTAATTGTTTCTTATTAGACTCCTGTGTCAATATAACTTCCTACATTATGCAGGAACAACCTAAGTTACTATATAACTAACAGTTATGCCACAGCACCTTCTGTAAGGATGATTACATTTCAGTAAAATTCCATAATGCATAAATGTTTATTGTGCTTTCCTTGCCTCAAAAACCTAACAATATAAACAAAACCAGGAAAGTTTATTACCTCTGTCCATGTTATCTCAGTTTGATTAAGTGCCAGAATCTTCAATTTTGAAAATACACTGGATACAGAAGTTGAGGTAGACGGAAATTTCATTTTGTTTTCACTGTGTAAAAAGAATAATTATTAGCATAATGAATAATTACATTTAAGTCACTAATTTGTAATTATGTATTAAAGAAAAAAACAATTTTTGCAAAAAATTCTAAAAGTAATTTCCAAGGTGTCACATATTTTAAAATATTATAAAATATCCTTCTAGTTATATTCAAACATACTTCTTCCTAATTTACTTTGCTTCTTCATGAATACATACTTATTCATCTGTGGCCTCCTTCGCCCTTTTCCCTCCCCTAAGTTTTGAACATGAAAAGAATTATTTTCATTAATATTAAATGAAACAAAGTCAGATTTTGGACTTAAACTCATGGAATCATAGAATGGTTTGGGTTGGAAGGGACCTCAAAGATCATCTAGTTCCAACCCCCCTGCCATGGGCAGGGACACCCTCCACTAGACCAGGTTGCCCAAAGCCCCATCCAACCTGGCCTTGAACACTGCCAGGGAGGGGGCAGCCACAACCTCTCTGGGCAACCTGGTCCAGTGCCTCACCACCCTCACAGGGAAGAATTTCTTCCTAATATCTAATCTAAATCTTGTCCTCCTTGGGACAAGGAGGCTTACCCCTTGTCCTATTAGACTAGGACACCTACTAGACTATTGCACCCTTGTAAACAGTCACTCTTTCTTATAGGCCCCCTTCAAGTACTGGAAGGCTGCTATAAGGTCTCCCTGGAGCTCTTCTCCAGGCTGAACAACCCCAACTCCCTCAGCCTGTCCTCACAGGAGAGGTGCTCCAGCCCTCTGATCAGCTT